CTGTGGGATGTTCTGTATGTTAAATGTGTTGCTCTGATTGGTTAATAAATAAAACACTGATTGGCCAGTAGCCAGGCAGGAAGTATAGGCGGGACTAGGAGAGAAGAAAATTGTGGGAACAGGAAGGCTGAGCAGAGAGACGCTGCCAGCCCCCGCCATGACAAGCGAGATGTAAGGTACAAGTAAGCCACGAGTCAAGTGCAACTTATAGACTAATAGAAATGGGTTGATTTAAGATAGAAGAACTAGATAGCAAGAAGCCTGAGCCATTAGGCCAAACAGTTCAAATAATATAAGCGTCTGTGTGTTGATTTTATAAGTGGGCTGTTGGACTGCCGGGGCTTGGCAGGACCCAGAGAGAAAACTCTAGCTACAGAAGATGTACACCCCATTCATCCCTAACATAATAACTAGCTCAAAGTAGTTGCTTCATAAATGTTTATTAATACCCGGGCAGTGGTGGTGCACACCTTTAATCCCAGCACTTGGGAGGCAGAGGCAGGCGGATCTCTGTGAGTTCAAGGCCAGCCTGGGCTACAGAGTGAGTTCCAGGACAGTCTCCAAAGCTACACAGAGAAACCCTGTCTTGAAAAACCAAAAAAATAAAATAAAAAAATAAAAAATAAATGTTTATTAAGTCAATCAAGGAAAACATTCTTGCACAAGAATATGAAAATAAAACATCCATCTGGGTTTCTGTGACCTACCCATCTCTGAAACCACAGTTGTTGAACAGAGAAACCTTGTCTTGAAAAACAAAAAAGAAAAAAGAAAAGAAAACATCCATGAGCTCGTTTCTAACATGTGTCCTCTGTTCTCAAGAGCTGTGAAATCTTGACATTCAAGCTACAAGCTTTGCCTTCTCAGCCGTCCTGTCCCTTTGAGTCCCTCATACCACACCCGGGTCTAGGACTCCACATGGGAGGATTTTGTGTGGATGTACACATGTCTGTGTGAGTGTATGCACAGGTATGTGTGGTGCCTGCGAAGTTCAGAATAGGCCATGAGATTCCTAAGAGCTGGAGTTACAGACATTTAGAATTTCTGTTTGCTTTTTAGTTTTATTGAAACAATGTCTCACTATGTAGCCTTGGCTGACCTGGAACTTGCTATGTAGAGCAACGTGGCCTCAAACTCATAAGAGATCCACCTGCCTCTGACTCCTTAGTGCTGGAATTAAAG